TCCAGCGTTTGGCTGTGCACTTCGGCGTCTGCATTAGCCTTCACGAGTACAACCTCTAGCGTGCTTAATGGTTCTCTCGGTTGGGGTGGAGGTGAGTCTCCGCGGCAAACAAACTCCAATGAGTCAGGACGCTTCGCAGATCGGAAGCTGAGCTTGCGACGGAGGATCTTCGGCCCCGCTGGACTTGCCGAGCGACTGCGTTCTGTTGGTTGAGTTGGGGTACTGTCCTGACCAGTAATGAGGGTGGTCACTGTGCGTAGAGAATCGATCACGATGGAAGTGTCTTCCTGTGCATCCTTCTTCCTCTTAGTTGCGCTGCGTACAACTGTAGCTTCTGCGCTAGGAACTGGGAGCTGGATACGGATGTTCGCAGCACGGGAGAGTGCCGACTTGACCATGTGAGGTGGCGTACTGCTCGTCCAGCATCCCCAATATTTGCCGATATCCTTCTCGCCGCTGGCGTTGACTCCACCAATGTCAGATAGGTCGATGAGAAATAGGCTGTCGCGATAGAGGATGTCTAGTCCCAGCTCGCGCGCCTGCTTACATACCATCAATGCAGGATGCATCATAAAAGATCGGATGTCGATGGTGCTCGGGCCATGGCGGTGCCGGCGTCGTGGCTGGGGTGTGACACGCGACTGGTATGGTGTGATGGAGACCGCGCGTTCTTCAGCGAAAACGTATGACAATACGTGATTGACTATTGCCTGGGGAAGTTGAAGAAAGGAACGCGTCGACTCTGTGGGACCATTGGTAGCTTTTGTCGTAGGCGCCGTGTTACTCAAAGCGCTGATGGAAGTAACGTTGGTGGCGTAAGACTCTGCTGTCGAGTTCGACGAGGCTGAAGATCGATCCGATTCGTCGACGAGTGATTCGTCAAGCATTATCATACACTCTATGGTGTGCGCATCCCACTTGTCGTCAAGACTTTGCGATGCCGCTGAGGGAGGTATCGACTCTTTTGCCATGACGCGTCTAAGCTTTGCGTTCACATTACAATGACGCGATGATCCAGCCTTTGGTGGTGGTAACGGCTTGTTCTGACCGGGGAACAAGTCCTGCATGTACTTCTTGGTCGTAGCATATGCTTTGGGGTCGAGTGCGTAGTTCGCGAAGTCAACGCTGAATCGAGGGTCTGGAAGCTGAAGTGCGAGCATGGAACGGGGCGTAACCTGTGCCATAATGGTGAAAGCCTCCTGCCTGTTGTCGTTGGAGGGCTAAAAATTGCTAAATGAGTGACGATGATGGTGATAACCAGAGAAGAAGAAGAACAACAACGAGTGGACGAAAGCCTGCGCCACTAGATATGAAGGTAACGACAGAGTCAGAGTCCAGCTCTCAATGGTGAACGATCGACGTGATCATCAACGAAGCTGGAGAAGACGATAACTCCATTCTTAACCCACATTAGATGACGATCACACCTTCTACCCTGTCTGCTTCCCATGTACAGACAGACCCATGGCTAGCAGATTCAAAAGCCGTTACGAAAATGGGCCGGGCACAGATGTGATGTAACCGTATGTCCTTAATCTTTGGAGGCGACGTGAGGCTTGATCGTTTACCTTGATCCCATTCGCTCGATGTCAATTCTACCCACAAACATTTCTAATGGCGCTACTAGGGTATCTTGATCAATTGATAATTGCCGTTGATAAGGCTCCGTCGCGTGGTCGAGATCAAGGTACATTACTCAATTACGAGCAGAGGTAAAGGAGCGGGAAGGGCCTGAGGCTTCATCCGAGACTCAGAACGTTCGAGCGTCAATGCAGAACGAAAACCTGAAACCTGACGTACCCGATTCGGCAGATCGACATGGCTGGGAACTCATCGCGAAGTGGAGACGATGCGCGAACGCGACCGTGTGCATGCAAGCGTTTGCTGCCTCAGTGGGTGGGGATGAGGCTGTCCAGAACGCACAAGCGACGTGCAATGTTTCATGCCTTGGGCATTGACGAGACCCATGGCGATGGGCGGCTGAAGAGGTAGCCGAGATGTACCGACTGCATATGGAGATGAGATATACTGGAATTGCCGAAGCCTACTATGAAGCTAGTCGCGTAAAAGAGGTCGCCCACGCTCTTCTGCTGCAGGTACTGTTAAGATGGTGCAGGACGAAGGAAACTTGGAAGCTGCCCATGGCGAGTTGAGCTAGCGCCTATCACGCCAAGCCCCCGTTGTTTTCGAGGCCTGAGGCCTTCCGTCCGGCCCCACATGCGCGTCACGGCCATGCACCTCGCCTCGTCGGATTTGCCTTCGAAGTCGCGTCTTCTCCTTGACACATCACTACAACATGCGCCCGATGCCAGGGCATGCTCGAGAGGGATTCGCCATCGTGTGGGCTGCCTTTACATCCGTGTCTGCGGCGAATTGAGAATCTGCACCAGGGCGAGTGGCCCCTACCCATTGCATAGTTTCTTAATGTCCCATCCAGTATTGGAAACAGTCGACAAACCCCCCAGCCACTGTCCGGATAAGCCCGGGAAGGCTTTCGCATATCAAGCCAAATCAGCACGCATCGCACGACCATACGCATCGACAAAACATCGTCGAGTCCGAGGCCCTGGTCCACGTCCAAGAAGGCCACCCTACGGCGCCAGCATCATCAACATTATAGCCACTCAACATGTGTAAAGGTGTTTGTATATCTCAATGGGTCACTCGATGGGCTTACAAGTCAGTGCCCCAGCCTCCCCGTTCATGCAAAGCGTTGTAATGGGCCATGATTGCCATGGTCAAATCAAACACATTACATACAGGACCGTCAAGCTTCTATAGATCACTACTTGTTAAGACACCGATGTTCATATAACGACTCCATCAGGATAAATCGTCCGGATTCCCGAATCATGAAGATTCCTGCGCTCTTTCCAGCGCTTGAGCAACCCGCATGCGCGAGGCGTCCAGCCAGGAAACGCGGTAATCGCCGTGAACCCGCTCATCTAGGCTAATCATGGTCAGTTTCACATACCAGTGACTCTGAAGAATCACCCGATGTCGGACGGTTTTTGACTTTGCGAGATTGGGATTATGCATTCGCTGTCGGAACAGAGAATGGTCGTCTTGGGCGTGCGAATCGATCCTGTTCAAGCTCGTCTTCAAAGGGATGTGGTCATTGGCGATACCTTGGTCATGGCATCTGCGCTCGGCGCTGGAATGAATGTTACTTATCAACGTTCCGCACACATACTGTAGCGCGAACTTCATCGAAAATGTACGTATGAAGCGTTCGCTCGTGATCATGCATTTTACAAGTCTACAGGTCGATCACTAATCTCCATATTCACCGGCATCGGCTTAGACGACTACTTACTTTCCGATGCGATGTCTCGAATGAGCCTGCGTACTTCATCGTCGTTCATTCGTTCCACTCCCAACAGCTTGTTGTCATCCAACTGCTCCCAGCGTAGCGCAGGGACTGTTCCTGCAGACCATCGAATCATATCACCGATGACCTCCATGTCGATCTTCCCCGCCATCATGGCCTCAGTCGCGGCCTTGAGCTTTTGATCCATGTCTTGGCTCGACTCCTCCCAGCCATCGCTGCCCAGGGTCTCCTTCGCCAGTGCCACCATCTGCTTTTGGCTCTTGATCACGCTCGAGATGTAGAAGGAGCGGTTCTCGGTCTGTTCAGCCTTCTTTAGCACGTTGGCGACGGCAGTACTGATCGAAGAAAGCATCGTCCAAGCCATCGGAATCATTCCATCGTTCATGTATTGAACCTTTTTGCTCCGAATGTCGATGTTGATGAATCCAGTCCGCAGGTTCCAATCAAGGAAAGCTCCATTGGATATGGTAGTGTATGTGATCTTGCCTTTCGCGGCCAGGTCCTTGATGTGCTGATAAGCCTGGTTCTTCCCGTGGTGAAAGAGCGGCGATCTCGCTACGGGGTCCTCAGGGTCAACGCTGAACTCGCCCATTACTATACGATAGACTCCCGCGGAGACAGCAGCTTCGATGATTCGTCCCTGGAGGGTCGGATCGGGCCCAGATGTCGTATCCACGATAGCATCGTGACCGCGAAGGGCTTCGGCAATCGCCGCGGCAGAGTTAGTGTCGACGACCTTGACTGACACGCCAGCAGGAAACTTCTGCCCCTCCTTCCGAGCAATAACGGTAACATTCAACTTGGCTTCAAGAAGACCCTTCAAGACCTCAGACCCAAGACTGCCGGTCGCCTGAGCAATGTCAGTAGACCGCCTTCTCCTGGTACTCGTAGCTATGAACTTACACCTGCAATTGCGACATTCGTGATCTTGCTGGACATGATTGGTGTGCTTGGTGTCGATCTTATGGAGAGTATAGTTTGAGAATGTGGTGGTGGTGTAGGCGATCCTGTTGTTTTGGTGGCTTGATGTGGTCTTTTCTGGTTCTGAGAAGCAGGCTGTGGCGATAACTATATACATCATCTCGACATCGAAGACTAGGTGAAGTCAACCAAACGTGCGCAGATACCTAGTCATCCTAGATTCGTCCGGATTGCAAAGCATGGCATCAACAGGTTCGCGTTTTCGGCCATAACTCAGTCAGCCTCAAGTTAAGCGTGCCACGATAAGTCCGGTACGCTAGTCGTGCGACGGGACGGCAGGGGCCATACTTCCGTTCCGTCACATCTCTCGCGGCCCTGTCTGGATGACAGCTGGAAATCGCCTACGTCATAAAATCTCAGCTGCTAAATCAAGGTGCTATCTCGGGCAGAAGACCTAGCGCAGTAGGGCGGGGTTCTAGAGAGTCCCCGAGCCCTGGAGATGTCTGTTAGGTAAACGCCGACTAAAGCAAGCTAGACCTCGGCACAAGCGCCAACGTCGGCGAAGGACAACGATTATACAGTTTATATCAAGGTGTGGTTTTTCTCTCGCACGACAGACACAAAACGCTGATGAGAGCGCGCTCGTACCAAGAAAGTGATAGCTATCCACCGGCAACTGATCAAAAGCGACATCAGTCCCAGACTCCCGGATACGATCCTACTACAACTTTTACTACCACATCAAGCAATGGAGTAAGCCTCCCTTTTCCAGATTCAGCTACCATTGCTAACCAGAACAGGAATGGCCATGCCTCGAACGGTGAGGCCCCATATTACGATCTAGGGGAATACAGACGAGATGCTCAAACGACATCTCACGAAGCGCAAGCATGGTTCGCCCGTGGTCTTGTGTGGTGCTACTCATTCAACCATGAAGCAGCCATGCAGTGTTTTGAGGCGGCGACTGTACATGATGCGAGTTGCGCATTAGCCCACTGGGGTATTGCTTACGCTGTTGGCCCGAACTACAACAAGTCATGGCGCATGTTCACACCGGAAGATCGCACAAATTCCATCGAAAAGATACTTCGCGCCTTGTCGCAAGCCAATGACGTCGCGGCCGCTGCCTCGCCCGTGGAGAAAGCACTCATCACGGCCCTCAATGCTCGCTTCCCAAAGAGTAACACAGATGTTCCAAACGACCTATCGGCGTTCAATTACGCCTATGCAAAAGCTATGCGCTCGGTCTACGAAGAGTACGGGGAAGATCTCGACGTGGTCGCACTATTCGCCGATGCCGTCATGTGCACTCGTCCGCGTCAGCTCTGGGACCTCAACACCGGGAAGACTACAGGCACAGATGTGGACGAGGCAAGAGCCGCTCTGGAGAGGGGCTTGGCACGTTCCGATGGTCTCAAACACCCGGGTCTGTGTCATCTGTACATCCACATGATGGAGATGTCGCCTTTCCCAGAAGTGGCTTTGCCCGCGGCTGACAGTCTGCGACGACTTGTACCTGATGGCTCTCACATGCAACACATGGCCACACACATCGACACAGCCTGTGGCGACTACCGTCGCTCTGTCGATTCGAACTTTGACGCTATACGTGCGGATGACAAATACTTCGGGAGTGGGGCCAAAGCAGCTCTCATCTACAACGCATATCGATCGCATAACATCCACGCTATGGCCTACTCTGCCATGATGTCTGGTCGGTCTCGGGGCGCTCTCTACGCTGCGACACGGATGTCTGAAGTATTGACTTTGGAGTTCATGTCGATCAAGACGCCACGAATGGTAGACTGGACCGAGTGGCAACTCGTAACGCTGCCTCACGTGTTGATTAGATTTGGTCGCTGGGACGAGATTCTCGAGCTCCCGGAGCCGGTAGATCCGGTTTTACTCTGCGTCTACAAAGCGACAATCCATTATGCCAAAGGGATTGCTTTCGCAGTACTTGGGAGGATAGATGAGGCAAGCCAGGCAAGAGACGCTTTCGAAAAGACCCGTCAGTCCGTACCGGAGGACCGTATGTACAGTCCCTCCTCTCCAGCAGAACCCATTCTAGCTGTAGCGTCGGCCATGCTGGAGGGCGAGTTGGAGTATCGCAAGGGTAATCACTCTCAGGCATTCTCCGTCTTACGACACGGCATTAAGTTGGAGGATAACCTCGCCTACGCTGATCCGCCACTCTGGATGCAACCCGTTCGCCACGCTCTGAGCGCACTCCTTCTGGAGCAAGGCCAGTCTGAGGAAGCCGAACTGCTTTATCTAGAAGACTTGGGATACAGTGATAGCCAGCCTCGTCGGAAAGCGCGCATCAACAACGTTTGGGGACTACATGGTCTTTATGAATGTTTTATGCGGAATGGAAAGCAGGAAAAGGCCAAGAGCATACGCCTCCAGCGTGACATTGCCGTGGCTTCCGCTGACATTTCCATCGAGTCCTCATGTTTTTGTCGACTGTCAGCGTCAAGCAGTGAGCAAAGCTGTCATTCTACATAGATAGCAACTTGTCGGATCGGATGAGTGGAACACTGATGCTATTTCTGTTCCTTTCGTCGATAAATCTATGGCGTGGCGCTGTCAACATCAAACTTCGGTTCTCAATCGCTTGGCATGCGTGAAACACATGCAAATACTGCTCTACGATGTTTATGATCACGACGTAAGACTTCATGCAGAGTTGATGGCACAGATGAATAACACTGGGTAGTATTTCAGTAGGCTTTCTTTATAGTGATTGAATCCGACACCGTCATCCATCTTCGACAATCACTTTCCGTCCAAGAACTGCAGCTCCTCGGCTGTAGAAGTGCGATCCAACACCTCGTTCCGCTGCGGGAAGCGCCCAAACCGACGAAGTGCGTCCAGCTTGCTTTCACAGATGCTAGTAATAACACCCTTCAGCTTCCCAAAATCGCTCCTTCGTTTGAGAAGCACGTCGCGGTACTGGGCGAATTTACCGTCCCATCCCTCGACATCCCTCTCTAGCAGCCTCTCATAGTCACGGAACATGTCAAAGTGTGCTTTGTGTAACGATTCTGCTACTGCCAGGCTCTCGCAATGTTCCATCGGCATGTAAAACCAGAATCTGTATGCCAGTCGGAAGCGAACTTCTGAATCCTTAGGAACACCGGAGTCAATTGCTTTGGAGGCCACTGCCAAAGCCAGACTATCGAAAACGGTGAAGGCTACACGAGCTTGAGCACCTCGGAAGCAGTTTCTTGGGAGTTGGTCAAGCAATATGATCAGACTGATCCAGTGCATAGGCTTGCATGGCTTTGCTGCTGCTACGATGTCCGCTCCATTTGGTTCTAGGACCTGAATGAGTTTGAGCAATCCGCCAAACTTGTCCCTGGGGCTAAGTAAGCTTTTGTTCGCGGGAAAGTATCTAGGATAAGCTGAGTACTTACGTGCATTCCCGGTCGAAAGCATCATTCTGTGAGAACCATGGCGCCGAGTCCTCGATGCTAGGGCTGATGATGTGGTCTTGGTCTTGGAGATGACGAAACCAAAAGGCTGAGATCTCATCAAGTTTAGCGTGCGACAGGTCGTTTTCGAGAGATAGCTGCGACATCGCTGCAAAGTGATGGATGCAAGAGCTGTGAAGTAGTTTGTCCGTGTGGAGATGTATGGGGTAGGAATGCAATCTAGGTCTTCTCAACGTAGACACGTACTTTACTCAGTCCATGACCTGTGGCACGACGCGTGATGCCAAGCTGATATGTCGACGCAATTCGACTACATTCGTCCGCTGCTGCAGAACTCGTCCGAAGCTACAAGAGGTCATCTTGGCTGCCATCGGTGTTCGCTGCGGACTAAACCATCTTTCAAGGCCATGTTCATATCTAGTCGGCCCTTTTGTCGGCACCGCTAAGACGAACGTACTTCCGTTCCGTACTGCTAACTGGGTGCGCTGCATTACCGCATCTGGAGTCGGTCGACAGATTTGGTAACACTAGAGTTTTGACTACGGGTGTTGCCGTTCCCGACTTCGTAAGCAGGCTGTCCTAAAGTCGACTTGTTGACTTTCAAACTCTACACCACGACCAGAGATCCTGGGGTTACCACCAGAGTACGAGAGACTACATCACGCGCGGTGCATGGAATGAGCCACGCTCGTATCATCAGTAATCGCAATCCACTGCGTTTGCTGGGCATTAGTCAAGGCCTGCGCGAACGAGGAGAAGGTTCGTCCGCTTCATCGACGCGAGACGCGAGACGAAGAGTAGCATGAAAGTCTGTTAGAGAAATGAACTATGCGTAGGAGCGCAGGCTCAGTATATAGATCGTTGCAATGACATCCTTTGTGTCCATCACATCTCTTCTCAATCTTCTGCTTGTACTACGTACCAACCTCGATCGGCTTTCTCTTTCAATCAGCTCGAACAAAATGCTATCAACCCGAGCATTCTCAGCTCTGGTGGTGGGCTTCCTGTCATCCAGCTCGTTGGCTTTACGAACACGTCAGTCCGAGGTACCTACAGACCTTGTACAGCGTGGTCTCGCAGCCATTGGCATCAACTCCAACACGTCCGATGTACGCAATGTGAGGATCAGTGGCTCTCAATTCCGCACCAAGTCTATAGTCACAACGATAGCCCTGGATGGTATGGACCAAACAGTCGTCCCATATGGTAGCCAGACGATCACGTATTCGTACGAGACAGGCAGTCTGAAGCAGCGCATTGACAAGGTTTCTGGCTTAGGGAGTAGGTCTTCTCTCTTGATACCGTTTGATGGGAAGCTGACTTTGAGATCCTAGCTCTTTGGATGTTTGCCCGACCTGAACTCGAACCTATGGACTACTCTGTAGTAGTACAAGGTGGTGATGACGCGTTTGCTGCTGTGGTCAGGGGAAGCTATGCGCTTTTTGACCCGACGGCTGCTCCAGAAGGCTACTTGGATGGTACTACGTCCACTGAGATATTTGTATCAAAGTCTGACGATCAACAGGATATCTCGCGGCGTATATGATCTCCGATGGTCAAAAGTGGGATCCGTTGCTGCTCAGCAAGATATCTGCAAATGATTCCACCCTCCGTTTCGAGCCGGTGGAAGGAGACTTACTACTTCCAGCAGGTTGGTCATCACCTACTTTGCTTTTCACAACCTTTCTAACTCGGCCGTTAGTGTTTGACCAAGCACTGAACATGTCAATCATCTTCAACCCCGACACTTACCTACCCTTCGCTATCCGCACATACGAAGACCATCCCTTTTTCGGTCCTTCGACGAACGATCTCCGAGTATACGACTTTATCTCGGTCAACGGCCTCATGATACCCCGTCATTACAAGACCATATACAACAACCAGCGCTTATGCATCGACTTCCTTGCAGATGACATATCGGTCAACACTGAAGTCGAGCCATCGTTCTTCGATGTCTCCGTCGAACGCGGCGAACTGAGCATTCCCGTCGTTGACCCTGCCCTGACTGCTGAGATCGGTGAGAAGTACACGAATTACATCTGGTTCGGTCGGAACAACTTCACAGTCGAGTCGCTCAGTGGATCGCAACCGTACGCAGATCTACCCGGCGTCTGGGTCGTCCGACCACCTGGTGTATCCGCGTACCGCCAGATCCTGCTTGAAACTGACACCTATGTTGCTGTTCTGGATGCTCCTGCTGAGATCGTGGCGGTCTTGCTCGAATGGGTCAGGATCAACATTGGAAAGCCAGTGTCGCAGGTGTGGGTAAGTCAGCGATCTTAATCCGCCTAATTACTACTCTGATGAGCTTTACTAACATTGCATAGCCTACGCATCATCATCACGACCACGCTTTCGGTGTCAAGGGCTACGTCCAGAACGGAGCGGAAATCGTCTGTCCTAAGATGGCTGAGTCGTACTACGCCGATATCCCCGGCGCCAAGTTCGAAACCTTTGAGTACGTTATCATCTATGCCCCCCACCAGGCCAAGCGCTAATTTGCTCTAGACGCGGAGCGCCGCACATCATGGAGACCAACGGTTTCAGGGCCACGTTCGTCCACATTGAAGGCAGCATTCATGCCCAAGACCATAGTGTCGCCGTTATTATGCCTGCTTGTCCTACCGAGGACAGCACAGTCGTTGTCTTTGATGCCGATCATGTCACCCAAGCGCAGTTGATGGCAACACACAACGACCATAACGAAATTGCTCAACTGGTCAACGCTATGGTGAAGCACCGGGTAGCGAAGTCAGCGGTGTAAGTTCCCAAAATACGCTCCCGAAACGTGGTCACTAATTCTCGGTACGCAGTCTAGTCTCTGTTCACGGTGACTTGGCCAACATGACTGATGTCTATGACGGGATTGGTTACTTGTTTCCCGACTATACGCCATTTGACTTTGAGTACCGCGGCGACAATTGTACCGTTTGATGAGGAAAGCGAGGAAGGCGACTGCGACTACCTTGCAACGTCGCCTTCTTTGCCTGTGCAATCAGCTGTGCGAGTAGCTACGTCGTCCAATGCAGCAATGGAAGGTCATGTCGAGAAGGTGTCGCCTTTGAGCAGACAGGGTGGTTGTATTGATTGAATCTGGGCCATTACTACCGGGAGGGATAGGCTCTGAGACTAAGTGAGAGGACGCCTTGATACTTAGAATCTGTCGCGGTGAGGTATCCGCATGGAAGCATGAGCGATGGAGGAATGACATGCCAGGTGTTCGGTCGCTACTCAAGCAAGCTTTTAAACTCCACTGCGTGGCACTTCGCATGTAGTTCGGTGCTCTCGTGATATGTCTTATCTCAATCTTCCAGTCTTGGATCCTTTCTATTCCTCTCGCTCATTCTTTCACTCATCTGTGTGATCTCCTCGGACGCGTTACTCTCAATCTTCTGAGATCTTTGATCCAACTACAGATATGTCAGTAAATGACTGCGATAGGATTACCGTAATACTCACCCAATGAACAGCCGCAGTCACGCCAAAGAACGCAAAGACGACCACGATCATCGCGATATACCCTTTCTTCCAGTACGGCGCATCGCTTGCTGGATAGAGTGCAATACCCCAGAAAGTGTACAATATCGACTGCACCATACTCATGATGTACAGCGTGACCGATCGAGAAGCGTCATCACCACTGCGTTGAGAGATCACGCTAGCCCATCCGTAGAGAATGGGGTTGACGATGTACGAGGTACCGGCCAAGTAGAATGCGAAGAAAGTTCCAGCGGTCGGAAGATTGGGTATCAACAACAGGATTGAGACTAGAAGCTGCAGAGCGCCAGCTAGTATAACCATCGGTATGCGGCGATTAGTCATGTCGATAACGTAGCCGGCCCCAACGTTGGAGACAATAGACACGGCCTGTATGCCTAACGGGTAGGTCGTAGTCGCATACGAGGAGAATTTCTCGCTGTTTGCTTTCATCCAGAGCAAGAATAGACCTTGCAGAACGATGGCTTCCAATGCGCAGGCTACTACTGAGTAGAGAGTAAAGATGTAAATATCCGGTTTGGCTAACAGTCTCTTAACAAGGGATTTGAGACTGATGTCATGGCTCCAATCTTTCTTCGGTGGCAGGCGACCTATTGCTAGCTGAATTTCCTCTTTGCTGAGATAGGGGGCATCTGTAGACTCCGGCAAGTTGGGGAAGAACATGAGTCCGAAGATGCCGAAGGGGATTCCCATTGCACCGTCTGAAAGCGATTAGTGGCGATGGTCTACCTCAAGAGGTGGACGTACTGATAATAAACACCCATTGCCATCCTTGAAGCGAAGTCTGACCATGCAGACTCTCGTTCATCGCGGTCATCATCACACCAGCGAACATGCTGCCAATCTGCCCAATAGCCGTAAAGATGGCTGTACGTTTGGCAATTTCCAAAGGCTTATACCAGCTACCAAGGATATAGATGGTGCCGCTATAGAGACTTGATTCGAAGAAGCCCTGGAAGAACCGAACTACGCATAGCTGGGCGTAGGTCTTGCATGCCGCAGAGCACATTGTTAGGCCGGACCACACTAGCAATGTGAAGGGCAGCCAGAACCGGGGCGCGACTTTCTGAAGGATGAGGGCATGCGGTATTTGACCAACACAGCTGCCCGCAGTAAACATGGCAAGCAGAATGCTGTATTGGTCGCCCTCGAGTCCGAGAGACTCCTTCAATCCAGACACGTAGGCATTGGCGAAAGCGCTGCGATCAAGGTAGTTGAAAAAGTATGCAGCGCAGCAATACACCTGGGATACCATCAGCTGCCATTATGTCAATTGATATCTTCTCCCCACCAGTATAAAGCAATCTGCGGTTGGTTAGATGCGCAACGTGGGGATCTGACGGGTGGTCCGACGTACCGAGCTTGCGAACCAGTCGCCTTTCGAGATCTACCATGTTGTCTAAGCGTGTGTAACCAGACCGATCATGGTGAGAGCGAAGCATAGCTATTGCATTCATCTGAACTCATGCAGGGACGGCGCGATGTGGAGGTCATGGTGACGGTACCTTGCTGGCCACAAACGAGCCAATCATGTCGCCGATTTTGCTAAGCATGAGCAAGTTTCCGTTATCGTAAGAGAGGGTCCTGCCGCAGCCAAGTCGCAAAATTTCGGGGGCGACTATCGTGACCCGTCGACCACGCTTGCCTGGAATAGACACAGAGTCACTAGCTTGGGTGTGGCGCCGCTACGGGGGGATCTCACGATGGCTGCCTTCACGTGCGCGATAATCAGGCACCACAACCACGACAATGCGCACAGACTCCACGGCCCGATATGAGGCTACGGGAGAATCGCACTCACCAGATCTCACTAGATCTCACTGAGCGACCAAGATCTCTATCAACTCTCCGCATCACCAGCCCAAACCATAACCAAGCCTCAGTCTGAGTCAAGGACGTGCTTTACTCTACGTCGATACAACCCACCACCCAGGTAGCTACATACCACCTTCAATATGGCCTTCAAGATGGCGACCACTCCACACATCGTCGCCCCCACAGCCCCCCACACCCACACCATCATCTTCCTCCACGGCCGCGGCAGCGACGCCAAAACCTTCTGCTCGGAGCTCTTCGAAAGCGAAGACACTTCCGTGCGAAAGTTCACAGACATCTTCCCCGGTATAAAATGGGTCTTCCCCAACGCACCATCATCCTGCGCAGTTAGCGAGCGAGAAGTAATACCGCAATGGTTCGACATGACATCCGTGCAACGGCCCGATCAAGACGCCGAGTCACAGAAAGAAGAATTATGGCAGAGCGTCGCGCAGATTCTAGAAGTCCTTGAAGAAGAGATGAAACCTGTGGGATTGCGCAATGTGATTGTAGCGGGGATGAGTCAGGGGTGCGCTACTGGAATCTTTACTCTGGTGACTTCTGGTATTCGTGTTGGAGGGTTCATGGGGCTGTGTGGGTGGTTGCCGTTGGCGGAGGAGCTATCTGAACTCATGGGAGTGCCTGGACGAGAGCGGGGTGTGTTTGAGATGCCGTTGCTTTTGCAGCATTGCAAGGACGACGAGGTTGTGCCTGTTAGGAATGGGGAGAAGCTTAGGAAGAAACTTGAAGAGTGGGGTGGGGTCGTGGATTGGAAGTGCTTTGAGGAGGGTGGGCATTGGCTTAATGAGCCTGGGGGTATGGATGGGTTGGTGGAGTTCATTCAGGCGGTTATGAGGGCTTCGCCTTTCCCTATACCTGTTAAAGAGGAAAAAAAAACAGAGGAGAAACCGAAGAGCAGAGATTGGTAGAGCGGTGTAGACTTCTAGGAGGCAAGTGTTAGATGTCTCCCGCTGGGGGGTGCACAGCTAAGGGATGACTTCATTGTAAATGTTGTTTCGTTCCCATATATGGCTTGAATGGACATCGGAATGGAGATCACACTCCTGTAACCTAACCCTTGCCCTCCATCGTATTCATCGTCCTGCGTCTCCCCTCCACACATCCAGAGTATCTGTTTACAGCAAAGTCTTCCCACTCCTCAAAGCCTCCAAATCACCCATAGTAAACCTCACATACCGATCCTCACCCGGCTTCATCCACATAACCACATCAGCACCGCCACCCACAACCTTAGTGCCAAATTTATCAATCTCCATACCCTCCATCCGCAGCGGCGCCTTATTTTGCTTCTGGTTATCCGTATTACTTGCTTCCTTGACCAAGCGCAAGAAGACCGGTACTGCGTATCTCGGCAGCTTGCTCCTCGAATACTCCAATAGCGTCTTCCAGTCGAACGTCTCGGGACTGACGCCATCGGCAAGTCGGAGAGCGACGCAGCCAGCGCGACCATCATGGCCAGGGACAAGTGTACCGTATACGATAGCCTCACCTACACCGGGGTACTGTCCGAGGACCTCTGCTACTTCAGCTGTAGACACATTCTCGCTCTTCCATCGGAATGTGTCGCCTAGTCGGTCAAGGAAGAACCAGCGCCCATCATCATCCCGTCTGAGCGCATCACCAGATCGGTAGAACAGATCGCCTTTCTTGAACACGTTCCTCTCGAACTTCTTCGCCGTAGCCTTTGGGTTGTTGTGATACCCAGCGAATGCTTCTTCACTGGGTACAGCGACCAAGATCTCGCCACCCTCGTTGTACGAATTGCGCCTCACGAACCCAGTCTTGGGGTCCCGGAGTAGCTCTCCAGTTTCCGGGTCGATGGGAACAGGGATGTATACGTCGTGAAGAAGTCGTCTGATAATAGCACCGTGCTGCGCTACTGTCGTCGCTGTAAAGGGCCCTTTGCTGTGAACCACCATACCCAGAACGCCTTCTGTCGAGTTGAAGAATTCTATTACTTCAGGGACGTTGAAGCGCTCTTTGAATCGGTTCCAGACATCGGGTCGCATGCCGTTGCCGTACATGGCGCGTAATCGGTGGTCTCTCTCCCGTGGATGTGGTGGCGCCATAAGCAGATATCGCGCTGCTTCGCCGACGTACACGAAAAGGGTAGACTGGGAGTCGTGGATGTCGTCCCAGAATGTGCTGACGGAGAACTTTCGTCCTATCGCCACGCTAACTCCACCTGAAAGTGCTGATAGCACAGATAGGCCACCTGTACCGTGGAATAGCGGCATGCAGCAATACCATCGGTCTCCGTTTGGCCCGGCTTTCTGGTCAAAGGCAAGGGTTTGCGGATTTCCTCGTTCGTGGAAACGGTTTACCATGAACTTTCCTCCTTTTGGTAGGCCTGTCGTTCCTGATGTGTACAAGAGACATGTCGGATCGGAACCCTTGACGTTCTCTCTGTACTGATCGCCGGGTACTTGAGTGCTGTGCTGCTGAACCTTGCTAATCAGGTCTTGATCGACCCGGAAAGCTGTGACACCCAACTCTTCCACTGTCGTCCTCACACCCTCGAACCGTTCTTGACATCCCTCTTCCTCGTCAACAAGCACGACTTTCACATCCGCGACTTTGAGACAATGCACTAGTCCTTCTCCTTTGAGGTTGTAGTTAAGATGGGCAGGCGCGGCGCCGATAGAAAACAGACCCAACCAAATAACCATGAAGTCTGCGCTGTTCATCATGTAAGTAGCGACCATATCACCCGGCTTTACGCCTTGAGAGAGAAAGAAGTGTCCCCATTGGACGGCGCCATCGTGAACTTGTTGCCATGTGTACGTTTTGTCCCGCGACCAGATGGCTAGGTTGTTGCTGTAAAGTGGAACGTGAGTCGCGAAAGCGTACCAAGGGGATAGCCTCTTAGTTTTCTCTATGTTGACTTAGCTCCGAACTGCGTCTCGACGTAAGTAAAGGTATCGCTGGGCAACATACCGAGTTGCTCATAGTAGCTAGCTGCGTTCTTCTTGAACCTCAGTCCTCTCAGGTCCTGTGCAATGTGGTATTTCGCGTTGACGTAGGCTGCTAGCCCGGAAATAGCTGCTACAGATGCAGCAGCCGCTGTTGCATCCATCTTGACTGATCTCGGTCTCGGACTCCTCTTTCGGGTGAATGTTGGACGTGGGTGTGAGAGAGGCACTGGGAGTGAAAAGCTTCAATTCAAGGAGGAAACGCAATGGCCCGACGTGATCGTCTTCCACAGTTGCCGTTTGTCGGTCCTACTGCTAGCTGAGTCCGGAGCTAATAAGATACCGAGGTCGAGTCAGTTTAGTGGGTCTTGCGAGACGCGTAGTGAGTGCGGGGGTGACCTAGCGCGTCGGACATGTGTACAGCGATTGCTTGTCTTTCGGGGAAAGCTTTGCGAGGCGTGGAGCGAAGTTTGACTTATGACGGTGATGTTTGCTGTGGCAGAGGCTTGTGGCTGAGATGGCTACAGATCACGGTCAATGTACCAACGATAACCACGATGGTATCAGAATGGGGCTACCCTTGCATACGGATGACAGCTATATTTCCTTTCTTATCTGAGAAATGTATATGCTGACCTATGGGTGTCATTCGACGCATCTACACAACGGCTCGAAATTTCTAGACCGCAAAACGCGTCTTCCAATGTCTTGAACATGAACTTGGCACAACACGGCCATTGTCCTATTTGACTGCCTTTTTCTCCTTCTTGCCAATGTTCTCTGTGCCCGGTGGCACCTTGAGTCCTCCAAACACCAATGCGCCGACTCCGACCATGCCGGCAGCTCCGGTCGCATATGCCGTCTCGCGGCCCGCCCACCAGTAGAGTGTGCAGAAGATGAGGGGTCCGAGGGAACGTCCGATTTGACCTGATACATGTCAGTAGATGTTCCGATGGAGATGGGAGTCTTGGCTTACCGAAGCTCCGATGGTTGCCCAGCTTGTTGCCTCGCTCGTCTGCGCTCGCCTCGAATGACGAGAGACTGTTGAGGCCGGTAACGACGGTCGCGCTTGTTACGGCAAGAAGCGCAGCGGCCCCGTAGAGTGCGCCCTGCGTCTGGACCCTTCCGAGCATGAGGAAGGCAATGGTGCAACTTACCACCCCCATTTGGACCACCTTGAGAGGGTGCATCCGCCGCACTACGGATCCTTGGAGGAGGGATGCGACCAACCCAATGAAACCAAGCAGTCGTCCAGAGTCCTTGGCCTGGTAGGAGAAGAGGTCGTATGTCATGAAGGGTAGCGAGAACTCCATGCCGCTGAAGAACAGGATGAAGGTGAAGTGCGTAGCGTTGAGTAGGAAGTGCGAGTTCGTTCGGCCGCGAGGTTTCGGTGCTTCGCTGCCTTTGGCATGCCCGTTCGTGGTGCCGTTCTCAGCCTTGCTCGCCGATGGCAGCGTCTCTGGAAGGCTGATGTAGAGGTAGATGGTCTCCGAGACGATCAAGAACAGAGAGAAGCCCGCTGCCATCGCGAACGGGTTGTTGTCCATGACTTGCAGTGTAGAGAGGTATGCGCCCAGCGCCGGCCCGAAGGTGAAGGCGATGCTGAAGCATACGCCCACAAGCGCCATGGTCGAGCCTCTCTGGCTGTCGTCGCTGATGTCGGTCGCGATGGCCATGGCAAGCTGCACGTTGCCCTCGCTCAGCCCTCCCACCACGCGACTGGCAAGGAAGGTGCGGAAATCGGTGGCTGCGACCCAGAGCGCAACGCTGAAGATGTTGCCCACCATGGACCACAGGAGAGCTGTGCGCCTGCCATATTTGTCTGAAAGTGTTCCGATAAAGGGAGACGCGACTGCCTGGCACAGCGAGAAAAGCGATCCGAGTGCGCCGCCGAGCAGGACTATGTCGTAGCGGGAGTTGATGGGTTTCGCGAACGAGTTCTTGTACGCATTGAGGCCAGCGAGGATCTTGGAGAGGATCGTGTTCGGGTCTCCGGTTTCATGGTTACGGTAGAACTCGATGAGTTTGGGGAATAGCGGGAGGATGAATGTAAAGGATATCTGTCAGGGTCAGCCCACGCGAGCGGTTACACGCGACGGGGATGACGTACCAAGTCTAGCAGCAGCGAGATGAACAGCACCTTCAACACCCTTTTCCGCAGTGCCGGCGGTACCGGAGTCGTTTCTGAGCCCATGTCGAAGATGTGCGATGGTTATCCAGCCCAGTCGCAAGAACCCCGAAGCAGCGAATGGAGATGTGGACACAAGTAATCGGCGGCAGCTGTCTGGTTAAAAGCAGCGCAGCGAACGAATAGAGGGGAAGGGTCTAGTTCAGCTTGGACTGCAGACCCTCTTCTAATGATACACTAGAAATAGAACAAGTCGCGAATTGTGGTCATTGGTGGCAAGCGCCGAAGTGTATTCGGGTCATGACGAAGTTTGGCCGTACGCGGGTGGCTCTGTTCGTGAAACAGGTGGAACAGGTGGGCACGAACCACGTACTTGAAACACCACAAGAAAGTATCTGAGGCAGCCACGGCACCGACGCCCACATGGGCAGAGTCATTGTACTGGCATGCTGCGAAAAGGAGATGTGGCTTCTGTGAGCGCGCCATGGCTTGAGCAAGTATCGCAGGCGCGGATGCGACACTCGAGTAGACAAGCCGAGGCAATGTGGAGCTTCACGTCGATCATCCATCCCCAGCATCACCCGACTAAGCCGATAGCGTACGTGTAGACGGCGAGCCTTCCGACATTCCAAATGGTCTACCAAAGATACTCGTAACATTCTACATTGTTCCAGGCTCACAATGGGCGTCCCGGAGGCAGATCGGCTAAAGGCAATGGCAGCCGTACAGGCCATGTTCGAGAAGTACAAGCTACTTGCAGCTCGTAGGCCAAAGAACCACGTCGTATGGAAACATCAACACCATTCAAGAAGCTACTATTAACCATGTTAAGGACTTTGACCGGGAGGTCATGCTGAATCTGGAGCTTGTGGATGCCACTCTCGATGGCACCGTTACCTACGAGTTCTTCATTGCGCCCAACCTATCCAACTTGAACAGTATGTAACTAGGTGTTGATCACTACCCGTAGCTGATATGCGGCAGACGTCATGCATGGAGGTGCTGCTGGAGTCATATTCGACATGTCAACAACGACAGCACTTTGTCCCCTAGCTCGGCCTGGCTTCTGGGAATTCATGGGCGGTGTTACACGAACCCTCAACATCTCCTATCTCAAAGCTGTGCCAATCAACACCAGAGTGCGGCTCAACAGCAAGGTAGTGAGTATCGGAAAGCAGATGGCCATGATCCGAGGCGACATGACCAGTCTGGACGGAAAGATCACATATTGTACCGTGGAGCACCACAAAGTGAACGCGCCCGTGATCAAAGAGCATCTAGACGTAAAGACGGCATGGGATGAGGAGTTTGCCAGAGAATGGAAAGCGAAGGGACTAGACGACGTGAAGAGTAAAATATGATGAAAAAGCTCAGGCCAAACGCCGAGACATGAATTTTGTACACTTGCTTCGTAGCATGCTGTGACATCATTAAGAGTCTTTGCTCCATCGTGAATGTCGGCAAAACTGGTATCATATGACCTCCGTCTATTTCCTCTTGTTGAACTTCTTGGATTCTGTAATGGGTCAGTATCGTCCATACACCCCGTCTTAGATGCATGGGGCTTACCAGCAGCAGTCCTCTTCTTCTTGGGCGCGCCCTTTCCTCTTGACTTTGCAACATTCAGGTGCTCCAGCCAGTCTTCCTCTTCTTCATCGATGATCTGGTGTTCGGGGTAGAGGCTTCGCAATTGACTAATTGTTCCTATCCGCGGCGGGTAGTAAGAAGCGACAGCGGGACCCTTGAGGCGCTGGTGCAGGATGCGCGATCCGAGACGGATGCGTTCGGGGTTGTACGTGGTGTTGAAGACTTTGCATTGGACCTGCACGTGTCAGTGAGATGAACGAAGACTTTGTCAGTAATCATACACACCCTCATCAGGTCCAAGACCCTCTGCCGTGGGACCGCCATTGTGCCTGCGATGCGGGTCTGCGGCGTTGCGGCGATATCTGAAATGTCGCGGAGGTGCCCTTGGCGCTCCCGACTAGCGCGACCGAGCCTCTCACCAACTTTCGAGGGACCAAATCGTCACCAACCACACGCCCAAAGACTAACCACCGTTCCAAGCTATGGCGTCGCAAAAACGTGGCGGAGGCTTCAATCACTATGGCCGCGACCAACAGCACAAGAGGCACCAGCCTCAGCCTCAGCATCGCAACGGCGCGAATCACAATTCACATCCACCGCAGCCTGAGCTCTCCTCCCAGGACATGCAGACTGGACTAACGGCTCTGCTGGACAGATTTGTCGCAGAAGAGGCGACTGTCGGGGCAGACAAGGATATCATCCATCATGCGCACGAGCTCCGTCGCCTACTTTGTGCCCGGAACAACCCAATCTCTGCTAGAGCGAAGCGCGAGCTCGACGAGAAACGGCCTGACAAAGCAGTCAAAGTCGCCATACCCGATTACATCGAGCGCAAAGTACGCGCCGCCCAGGACCTGCCTCCCCTGCCGCCTATCAAAGAGCCACACCTGCACGAAGCCGTCTTCACGCATCGATCCGCCATATTCGACCCGAGCATCCCTGGCTCCACGCTCGGCGGGGACCTCAGTCTAGACTACGAGCGACTCGAACTCCTCGGCGACGCCTACATCGAACTCATTGCCTCCCGCGCCCTCTACAACCGCTTTCCACACGTCGACGTCCCAGACCTCTGCACCTGGCGCGAACGACTAGTCGAGAATTCCGCTTTGAGCAAGTTCTCCAACGCCTATGGGTTCCCAGACCGACTGAAGCATCGCTCTCAGTGGGACAAAAACTCCAAGCAATATCAAAAGGTCGTCGCCGACATCGTCGAAGCCTATGTTGCAGCAATCGTGCTGTCCGATCCCGAGAATGGATTCGAAACCGCAGAGACATGGCTGACTGAGCTCTGGGCCCCACAACTCCTTGGATTCAAGGAGAAGATCATCGAGAACCCTCAAGCCAGAGACCAGCTCAACAAGCTTGTTCTCGGCAAAGGCGTCAAGCTCGTCGCCAAAGAGGAGAAACCCATGACCTACGACTCGAACAGCGTACAGTGCTACCACATTGGCATCTACCTCACTGGCTGGGGCTACGAGAACGAATGGCTCGGCAGCGGCGATGGACAGAACAAGGTGCAGGCTGGTGTCGCCGCGGCTGCCGATGCCCTGAAGCGGAACAGCCCAGTACTGCAGGACGCGATACGGCAGAAAGACGAGCTGAGAGCTGCGCGTGTGAAGGAACAAGAAGAAAAGGAGAAGACTGCAGGAGGCACTGAACCGCAGAACACCCTCAACACTGAAGCGTCAAATGGTAAAGTGTCAGACGATAAGGATGCTACACAGAAGAAGCGGAAAAAGGAAGATGACGATGCGTCACATGAGAAGAAGAAGCATAAGAAAGACAAGAAGCACAAGGCAACGGCTGACAATGGCAGCTCCTGACCGCGTCGTGCCACCACGACTGCCAACACCCTTGCTCTCGGGTCGTGACTCGTTGAGGGCGAATGTTCACGTAGCTAATTAAAAATATCTCATCGTGTAGGCAATGGCTAGGTAGGTAGGTAGCCATCCAAACGTATCCTCCTCGCTCGATGCTCTTGTTATGATCTCGAGCACCCAAGGCCAGTCCTCCATCCTAAAAAGATTGGAAACTCGACGCGACTAGGTAACTCAGCTTGCTAAAATCTCGTCACGTCACAATCGTCTATACGCAAGAACACAGCACATCAGCGCAATGTATGCCTGATTGCCTCTACAACAAATCTGGACTATGCATACCTAGACGAAGAGATCCGAATATCCAGTAGCATACACCGAATGCAAAGATCTAATTCCCATCACTCACTATATTCAATTCTGACGTAACGCATTTCGCGCCTCCAGCTTCTACTTCCTAAGAAGTCTTTGGTATGCCTGCCCTAAACGCCGTATGTTTCCAATGTTCACCTTCACTTCTTCAGCGCCCGTCCAGCGATATCCTTGCGATACTGCATGCCCTCGAAATGTATGCACTCGACGCCCTTGTAAGCCTTCGCAACAGCTTCCTCTAGTGTGAGCGCTGTAGCCGTCGAAGCGATGACACGACCACCGGCGGTCTTGAGCGTGCTATCCGAGAAAGAGGTCCCGGCGTGGAAGAGGACGACATCTGTGTCACATTAGCACCATCACAACCTCCATAGACAAGAAAAAAAAAGAGACTCACCCTCAGGAACATCATCCAACCTCATAACCGTGCCCTTCGCATAGCTCCCTGGGTAACCGCCTGCGGCTACAACAACCGTCGCCGCACTCTTACTTGACACCTTGACGTCAACACCCTCCAACCGTCCCTCCGCACACGCCGCCATAACCTCCGCTAAATCCCCCTCCATAAGCGCCAACAGACTCTGCGTCTCTGGGTCTCCAAACCTGACGTTGTATTCCAGCACCTTCGCCCCGTTCTTCGTCATCATCAGCCCCGTGAAGAGCACGCCTTTGAACTCGTAGCCCTCGGCGCGCATGCCGTCGACGGTGGGTTGCAGGATCTCTCTGTCGACGCGCGAGAGCACGTCTTTCGGTGCGATAAGTGTGGGCGCATATGTGCCCATGCCGCCGGTGTTGGGGCCTTGGTCGTTATCGTAGATGCGCTTGTGGTCTTGTGCGGGCGGGAGGGATTTGATTGTGCGGCCGTCGCTGAAGGTTAGGATGGATAACTCGTCGCCTTCGAGGAACTCTTCGATTACGACTTCATCGCCTGCGGTGCCGAATTCGCGGGTGAGCATTATGTCTTTGAGCGCGGCGTGGGCTTCTTCTTTGGTTTGTGGGATGATGACGCCTTTGCCTGCTGCGAGGCCCGAGGCTTTGATTACGACGTTGTGGGAGATGGAGTCGAGATACGCTTTTGCGTCGTCGTATTTGCTGAAGTTCTCGTAGGCGGCGGTCGGGATGTTGTGGCGCTTCATGAAGTCTTTGCTGAAGGTCTTGCTGCCTTCCATGCGCGCGGCGGCTGCGCTGGGTCCGAAGGCTTTGATGCTGCGGAGGCCATTGTCGCGGAAGTAGTCGACGATGCCGGCGACGAGGGGGGCTTCGGGGCCGGGTATTAAGAGGTTGATGTTTTTTTCTTTGGAGAAGGTGACGAGGCCGGCGAAGTCGCTGTCTTTTACGGTGGTTACGTTGGTGACTTTGTCGGAGAGGGTTGCGGTGCCGCCGTTACCGGGGCAGACGTAGATGTGCTCGATCGAGGGCGATTGGAGGAGTTTCCAGGCGATGGCGTGTTCGCGGCCGCCGTTGCCGACTAGGAGAACGCGGAGAGATTCAGACATGGTGTGTGATGTGTGTACAATGGCTTGTTGCGTCGTGGGAGTGTTTGCGCCTGGAAATTTTTGGGAGCGCATGCCCCGCCGTGGGGTAGCATGCAGGGATCTGCGGGAGTGAGGTCACTCAGCCCTACCAGGTCCCTGAGCTGTCCCGTGTCTTCCAGTCGTGACACTGGACTAGATTTATATTCAGAGCAATAACATAGTAGACACCCCAGTTCACATTTTACTGTCGCATGGTCCAAGTGCTGAAGTATCAGAGTCTTCAAAGATGTTGAGCAGGGAAAGGTCACGACCGATGGTCAGATAAAGCTGGCATTGAGTCGAATGATCTAAACCATATTATTATGGATGAAGACTTGAAATAGGGTATCGATGTAGTAAGAGTGTACATACGTTGAAACGTGCACTGAAAAGCAAGCTGACCCCAGTTTACACGACAATAGACCTGCCCTCATATCGTCGTCCACAAGACTGCCGACACCTGCAGTTGCACCTGCAACCTTTCTTGAGAGATCCATACCAGTAGTCCTTCAAGCTTGCATCAAGCTGCAGTATCTGAATGGACACAAGAATATAGATGATCTGCCGATCTTTGCGCTCTTCGTGCGTAGCAAGCCAATAGAGGATGAAGATGGAGACGGATCTCATCAACATCCATGTAATGTCGTAGAGGAGGTGGCCAATGATAAATGACTATCCATCATTCTCGCGCTCAATTGTGCGCTCGTGTTCTCTGACGGAATGACTTGAAGCGCTCCTGGGTAGCTCCGGAGCTGATTTGACTTGAGCGTCGAACTCCGAAGAGGGCACAAGCGTGTCGTCTGACTGCGGCTCTGCGGGCGAGCATTCGCGTTTGCCGAATAATTCCCGTCGCACAGCACCTGGAGTAAAGTCACATCAGCCAAGGCCATTGTGGTTTTGCTTAGCCTTCATGAAAAGCTGACCTAGCACGTCAGGCTGTGCTATGCCAGGATTCTGCATGTATGGTTGTTGCTGATGCATGGTCGGCATATGTTGGGTGTTGTGGTTGTGTATGCTGAAACCGGCGTCTTGTTCGCGTTGTTGGCCGAAGAGCTCTCGCAGAGACAGTTGGCGGCCCATCGGGGCAGAGGAGGCGGCCTCGGCAGGCTCGTTCGCTTGTACGGCAGGCTCAAGGGCCTCGCGGCTCGCTCTTGCCCTGTCGGCGATGTCCATCATCTTGGCGGCGGTCTCGACACGGCAGTTGGCGGTGGAAGCTGGTGGTGGGTCGGCGAAGATCCAGATGCCGTAGACCTGCTCGCCCTGAATGATGACATAGGGATCGGATATCTCCATCTCTTCACTGCTAGTGAGCTCCTGGTAGAAGTTGTCCAGGCCGCGACGGTTGAGGATGATGGCGCAGTATCGCTCGGCCCCGATGGGCGAGGGAGTCAGCTGGCAGATGAAGAGAGTACCCTCAATGCCCATCTTCTCCCATGACTGCGTCTCGAGGTTGAAGGTATATAGCGCGGCGTATGGCGTCACATGCTCTATGGCGACGAGGTCTGCGTACTCGCGACGCAGGACGGAGAAGTTGAGCTCTTCGTTTGACCGCGGCGGTGGGAGGGGCACGTCGACAGCAGGCGGCGCGTCCGTCTCGTAGTCTGACGGCTGGGGAGGCGCTTGGTTCTGGTTTGCGCGGGCTTTGCGGTGTGGCGCCATGACTGATATGGATGTTTGTTGTGGTGGAGGTGAAGGAGAGGGAGAGTGTGGACGGGATTGGTGTAGTCAGGCACCGGGCCCTGGAGAGCTCCTGCCCTGCAGCGTGGGGTGTCGAGGAGCTAAGCACAGCCATGCCGAAAGCCACTGCGACGGCGTCCTGGCACTGCCCGGCTCTTCATCATCGTCATTGCCAGCAGCGGACTGTGGCTCAACTGCCTGGTGCCCGCTTACCCACTCAAATCATCGCCATGGGGTGAATGCCTTCCTGTTCACGCAGACCCTGCATCCCTCCCTGCAAACCTTCGCCGCGCCTCTCACCCTCGGCCATCCTCCTTCACCCCGCCATGGCGCCCGACGCCTCTTCCGTGCGCTCCACTGAGCGCCTCGATGCCACCATCCCCGGCGCATTCGATCCGCGCACGCCGAGCATAGCTTCCATCACCACCCACCAGACATCGCTCTCGCAGGCGTTATACGAGCGCCGCGCCGAGTACACGCGACCGCGCAACGTGCGCATCAAAGTCGGCACCTGGAACACGGGCGCGCAAAAAGGCACCGAGCAGGATGTCGGCAAGTGGTTCGTCCAGGGTAAGGGCATTGAAGAGTCGCTCGCTGGACTCGGCGTGTCCGACCCTGGAGAGCACGGCAAGGGCAGCAGAGAGAGCATCCCCGCCCAGGAAGCACGGCATAGCACATCAGAGCCTACTGTCCCCCACCGCGAATCAGGAGAGGTCCCAGGCAGAGAAGAGGTCGATATCTACGTACTAGGCCTCCAGGAAATTGTCGACATCACTTCTGCCGCAGAGGCTCTGAGACCCTTCACCGACCCCTCCACGGCGAACAAATGGAAAGCCTCGCTGGAAGCTGTGCTGCCCAAGGGCTATCAGCTGGTATCAGAGCAGCAGCTCATTGGTCTGTGGCTTGTCATCTATGCCTCCCCAGCTGTCCTACCGCAGATCAAGAATGTTAGTACCACAAGTGTCGGCACTGGCTTGATGGGATACATGGGCAACAAGGGCGGTGTCACGACCCGCATCGTTCTGGGAGAGACAACTCGGCTCGTCTTCATAAATTCCCATCTGGCGGCTGGAGCGGACAAGTCATCTTTGGAGAGAAGAAATTGGGACGCTGCCCAGATCAACTCCCGAACACGCTTCGATCCTGTAATAGATTCCCTAGGCTCTTCGCAGAACACCGGTGAAGGTTTAGGTGACGAGGACTTTGCCTTTTGGTTTGGCGACCTGAACTATCGTCTCCATGGGATGCCAGGCGACGACGTGCGCCGCCTACTCACCATACATACAAAAGACTTGGACAAAGAAGAAAATGCTGGTCGTACTTCGACATCGGACGACTCCGGGTATGGCTCCAAGCAATCATCTGAAGAAGCGCGCGATGCCGTTCCTATGCCGCCAGAACTCGATCCAGCCTCACTACAAACCACCATCTCATCCCTACTACCGCACGATGAGTTGCACCAAATGATGAAGAGCGACAAGGCTTTTCATGATGGGTGGGAAGAAGGCCCTATTCGGTTCTTGCCGTCCTACAAGTACGACGTCGGCAAAGTTGGCGTCTTCGACTCAAGTGAGAAGCGTCGCTGTCCTAGTTGGTGCGATCGCATCCTCTACCGGACGCGAGCATCTAAACAGGAGTACGATACCCGAGTCAGGGAACAAGAGGCGGCACGTAAGCATGCTGAAGAGATGGAGGGGATCGACCTGCCAGGCGACTACGATGTCAACAGTGTCAAGAATGTCTTGTACGCGTACGACGAAGACAACGATGGTGACGACGACTACGATGAGAATGAAGACCCTGAGCCTGAGCCGATCAAGACTAAAGACGATCTTCAGGCTGAGATACTGCTCGAGTATTACACCACCCACATGCGTGTTCTCAGCTCCGACCACAAACCCTTGGACGCTGTCTTCAAACTACAATACGACGCCGTGATCCCTGAGCTGAAGACCGCCATTCATGCCGAAGTCGCTCGTGAGATAGACCGTCAGGAGAATGAAGGCCGCCCGTCGATTGCAGTAGTGGTAGAACGTGCAACCGGCTCTCCATCTGACGGGCGAGACAAAACAGACAGCACCTTCGAAGGTGTCGACTTCGGTGACGTCAAATTCGCAAAATCTACAAGACGTAACATCACCATCGCAAACACTGGCCGTGTACCAGCCACCTTCGGATTCGCTGATCGTCCGGTGGACAAAGACCAGCCTGCCGGTCCGTTCCCGCCGTGGCTCTCTGTCACCTTTGACAAAGCTCAAGACAAGCTTGATAAACCAAGTCCAGACGACATCCATCAATACTTCACGCTCGCGCCCGCCGAAGTACTCAACGTCGAACTGAAACTCAAGATTGAGAGCACAAGTTCAGTTCGCGACCTCAACGAAGGGGACGCCGTGCTTGACGAAATCCTCGTCCTTCGCGTTGAAAACGGACGTGACCACTTCCTCCCAATACGCGCCCACTGGCAACCATCGGCACTTGCACGGTCAATTGACAAGCTGATCAAGATTCCCGAAGGCGGTATCAGAAAGCTGCAAAACCAGATACCAGCCCGTGGCGAGGTAAAATGGAGCGTGCCTAGGGAAGTATTTCGGCTGACCGAGGCGATAGAAGACCTGACGGAGCGAACCCTGGCCGAATGGGACATGACCAAGAGCGAAGGGGAAAGGGCGCCTTGGCAGGACAACGCAGGGTGGCCTTTTGTTGAAGTTCGAAGTACTGATGGACATGACCGAGAGGACGAGCTTGCAGGGATTTATGAGGCGCTGGACTGCGATACCCCATTCGTCGACGCATTTTACCCGGAGACTCGCAGCACCGAGCGAGTCGAAATGTTAGCTGAAGCCCTCATCACTTTCCTATCCAGCCTCACAGACGGCGTGATCACCAAGAGTCTGTGGGAAAAGTTAGAAGAAGCGTTAGCCCGTCAGGAGAAGGCCTCGAAAAGTGCATCTTCCCCGTTCTTCACATCTGACGATGAGAAGATGACCATCTTGGAGATACTAGCAACGGCGCCCAACCACAACGCTACTTTCCTCCTCATCCTCTCTTTCCTCCAAAACATCGCGAACCAGATTACTGAGGTTTCGAAACCGCGCCCGGAAGACAGCAACAAGAGAGCAAGCATGGATATGAGCCTTCCGTCCAGTCCGCAAGCCAAGGTCAGAAGGAAGACGTTGAGTCGGGTGCCTGAACAGGCTATCCGCCAGCTTATCGTGAGGAACTACGCTGTCGTCTTTGCAGATTGTTTAGTCAAGTGGAAGGATGGTGGTAGAGAGAAGGAAAGGGCAGCTAGGAAAGAGAAGATGGTTGGAGTGCTTGAGTTGTTTTTGAAGCAGGACTGAGCATGCACTTGGAAGTTGATGAAGGACTAGTCATTGGAAGATGTAGTGATACCCGATCCACCTGGTAATATCAAGCGAACTTTCCTGTTTTGCGCTCGCTATCTTCTTGTGTAATGTCAACGTTTGACATATTTTCGAAGTTCGGTGGTCGATCTCTGTCGGTCAGGACAGTCCGTGGTTCTAGAAGCCATCGACGCACGCTATACCACACAAAGCATAGCGCCACCATGCACGATCCCCGGTAAGAACATTAGCGCACCCGAGATATCAAAAGTCGCGCTTCTTTAAATCGCACTTCAGCCCCCTCCACAGCCCTCGATCATCAGTTCGATAATATATGCACCACCAAAAATGTCCTCCACAGCCCCCGCCTCGCAAATTCACCTCCGCACACCCCCCGAGCCCGGAAAAAAACCCGCATCCCGCACCTACGTCATCTACTTCGTAACCGGCAACCCAGGCCTCGTAGAATACTACCGCACCTTCCTCACCCACCTCTACGGGCTACTAACCCACAACACGGCTTCAGACCGGTCCATAGAATTCCAAGTCTACGGCCGCAGTCTCTCTGGCTTCGAAATGAACGACGCAGAGATCAAGACGATGAAATGGCGGAAACAGCCGCCGTATGGGTTGCAGGACCAGATTAGGCATTCGGAAGATGAGCTTGCGGAACTTGTGGAGGAGGTTAAGGAGAGTGGTGGTGCGAGGGATGTTAGGGTGGTTTTGGTGGGGCATAGTGTGGGGAGTTATATTTGTTTGGAGATTATTAGGAGGTTGAGGGCGCATGGGATGGTGGGGGAGGATTTTGAGACGAGGGTTGTTGGGGCGGTGGGGCTGTTTCCTACGGTGGTGGATATTGCGAGGAGTGAGAGTGGGATGAAGGCTTCTGTGAGTACTGTTTTTCTTGTTGTTTTGTTGGAGATTAGAGACGTTTTTTGGGATGTATCCTGTTCTCGTCATGGGGAATGGCTGGGTTCCATTCCATTCCAGGCATGTCTTCGTGCTATTTTTGCGCACATGCTAACAGTATCGTATAGCCCTTCCTGAAGAACTCAAACTTCGCGACCTTTGCAGCTCTCTTCGTCAACTTTCTTACCATGTTCCTGCCCATTTCCATTCTGACAACCCTAATCGCAAAATTCATGGACTTCCCCACGGACGCCGCGCAAACCACCGCCGCCTTTGTCAAATCCCCCCACGGCATCCACGAAGCACTCCACATGGCCCGCGATGAGATGTTCCAAATCGACACCGACATCTGGGACGAGGAGATCTGGGGCGCCGCCGCTTCAGAGCCCGCGACCAAGCATCCGCACCCGCGGCCCATCTTGCGCTTCTTGTTCGCACGCAAAGATCATTGGGTTGCTGATGCGACGAGAGATGCGCTGATCCACACTCGTGGAAGGTTTAGTCGCGGGGATGGAGTGGAGGAGGTGGAGGGCCAGGGCGAGAATTGGAAACCCGTCATGGAGATTGATGAGAGGGAGGGGTGGCCGCATGGGTTTTGTATTCGCCACGGCGTACCAGTTGCAGAGAAGGTGGCGGGGTATGTTCGGGCGATTGTGGCGCAGGATATGGCGAGGAAGTAGCGACTCTTATTGGTGGGTTTCACGAAGCATCTCACAGCATGGGGTATATGTACAGGGGCACATCAGGTGTTCGCGAGACCAAAGAAAAACATAATCTTTATGTTGCAGTAGATCTGACTGACATTCCATGCAAGATAGTTGGGATTGATGGAGATGCTGGTGTCATTTTGGACATGTTTTTCTGATCGAGACATGGTGTTGTGTATGCAGCAATGCGGCACAGCCCCTGCCATCATGGGTAGCAATGCATGGTTGCAAATATCATGCACGAGATCGGAAGTCATCTTCCCCGCTTTCAGCCTGTTCATTCTCAATCTCTTCGCACTCCAAAGCCTCACCGTTTGAACCCTTCGTTCGCTCTTCATTTTCCCAATCGACGTCTCCCTCCGATACCAAAGATCACTTCAACGCTCTTTACCTCCCGCATTTCATACGACTCATACGCGAAGAGATACTCTACGAAAGAGAGAAGTATCGCATCTCCAAGAACCCCCCGGCCACGCGAGCGAAGCATTCACAATGACACGCAAACCCCACAAAACCCCGCCAGCTCAGCCATACCAATATAACGAGCTACCTCGTGATGGGTCTTTCCGCTACATCGTTCTACACCGAGGCACCGGAAACGACCCTCTCAAATGCAGTCTACAGACAGCGCCCTTGGCCAAGACAACATTCGAGGCTATATCCTATGTCTGGGGCAAAAGCAAGAAGAATAAGAAGATCATGTGTGACGGCCGCGTGATCAGAATCACCAAGAGTCTTTCCAACGTGCTGCGGCGACTTCGACTCCCTCATAAAAGGCGTAAGCTATGGGCTGATGGTATTTGCATCAATCAAGATGATTTGGAAGAGAAGGGGCACCAGGTAGCCATTATGGGGGATATATACCGTTCGGCGAAGTGTGTCTTAATCTACATTGGATCTGAGGACAATGGCCATGGACCACTGGCGTGCTCTTTAGTGGACGACGTCAATCGGATGATCGACGAGACTTGCAGACATATCGATACGTCGCAGGGTGCCTTTCCTCACCTCAAAGATGATGATACCCTCCATTCCGACTCTCGCTGGCATTCTATGCTCAACCTGTTCCGTCAAAGCTGGTTCAGGCGTGGTTGGGTTGTCAGAGAAGCGGCATCTGCGCATTACGGTCTAGTCCTCTGGCACAACAGCGAATTTAGCTGGGAAAAGCTGATGCGATTATACATTTGGTTGTTGATGCGTGGGAGCGGAATATACGGGAAATTCGAATTATGGGAAGGGACTGTGTGGTCCCATGCGCAGGCTTTCAGAGAGAAAGAGAAGGCCATTGCTGAAACTATATGTACGGCGGACGAATGGCCCACGAGTTCTTTGTTATCACAGCTCAGCACTGGGAAAACGCTGCAGCTATCGGACGCTCGCGATAGAGTATACGCTTTCATGGAGCTCTATAATAACTCCAAGCGTGTGTTTGTTATGAACCCCGACTACCACCTAGCAACTCTAGAGGTGTATCATCAATTCGCAGTGAAATATATTCAAGAGAGAAACGACATTACCATACTGGATCATGTTTGTCACGATTACGAATGGAACAGGAAAATCGATGACATACCGTTCGTTGACATACCGTCATGGGTACCACGCTGGGATGTTCGTAGGTGGTCACTTTCGGCAAAAGGAATCCCACGCTGGCAGCGTGCCATCGCTCGTGACGGGTCCATTAACCATCCCAAAATCATAGATTCTTGTACCCTTTCCGCAAGAGGTGTAATCCTCGATAGCGTTTGGTATGCTTCAGACGTCTTCCATGGAGACGAAGAGGAGAAGTGGCAAATATTGGATGAAATCTGGGGCATGGTCGCTCAGACGCTCAACACTTCGCCTTACGGAACTTCTCACATTCTAGAGGCCTTCTTAGATTGTCTGTGCTTCGGTAGAATGGGTGGAAATGCGGAATATTGGCTTCGGGCGAGGGATGCATTCATTACACGTCGCAACGCCGACTGTCTTGACGGAGTGGTAGGCCATGAAAACGCAATCGACGATGATCTATTATCTAGTGCTAAGATTGTTTGGGATTACATCCAGGGCTACGTACAAGGAAGGCGATTCATCGTTACCAGGCGCGGATACATGGGTCTGGCTCCTGATGTGACCGAGTACGACGATTCATGCGCAATCATCTTTGGTTGTTGCTTGCCCTGCATCTTGCGACAGACTTGTCGAAAGCAACAATATCAATATATCGGGTCGACTATGTTATTGGGCTCACATTCGTACAAGGGTGATGGCGAGCCCATCTTTTGGTATCCACTAGGTCACGACTACAGCAAGGAATGGGTGAATTGGGACGTCGAGGAACAAGACATCCAGCTAGTGTAAAGTAGAAGACTCCATTCTACCAGCTTGCAAGACTTTGAGATGCACAAACCCTCGCCTAACCACTAAATTGAATACACGTCTCGAGCGACATGTTAACATTATCGGTATCGGCGATAACGACACCAATCCTCCTGTCCATACGCCTTCGCCTTCCACCCTGTGATATGTTATCATCTGAAAGCTTTCTCTGGTGAACCATCAATGTGAATCACTATGTTCCGAGGAGTAACATCTCTGGTCTGCCTCGAAGGCGAACGTTCCAAAGTGAATGAACTAAGTGTCTCGATCGACAACTTGTGGAAAGAAACAAAGAAAACATTGAATGCCAGTGAGCTAAGGGATGGTAATTAGCTCAGCAGCTTCATTTCCAGTGGGTGATGGAAGGGATGGTCTGCTAAGACGCTAGACTCGGTTGGTGTAAATGTGTTTGCGTCGACGATTTGGGATGGAGCAGGTTCATCATCTCCGTTTGTCATCTCCGGAGATGTGGAGTAAAACAAAGTTCTCGAGCATGTGTACTGTACTCTCGTCTCAGAATAAGCTCCTTACATCGCGACAGGGAGAAGAGAGTGTAAGAGCTGTTATAGCAGTTAAAATCTAGGCGTACACATATACAAAGTAGAATATAGGTATTATATAACTAAAGCGTAGTAAATAAGTTAAATAAGTTTAAATAGTATTAAGTATACTAAAGAGCTAAAAAGCGTTATAGTTATAGTTATATAGTAGCAAAAACGCGTGTAGTACATTTAAAAGCTTAACTTTATAAGAGGTAGCATTCTTAAATATTCTTAAAAGAACAAGAAAGTAGGAAAAAGCCTGTAATACAGCCTATTTCTACAGTCGCGACAGGCATGTGCGTAATTGCTTAGTCCAAGTTAGCTAAATGCTCATCTATTGAATGAGCCTGCTCAATGCACTTCGAGAGAAGAGGCATCTTCAAAGTGACCAGCAGAAGGTCGTTCGTCTATCATAAGGCTCTTTTGTCCGCTAAGCGCTCTGCGATAGCCCTTGTTGAAGTTTTGATCGAGCAAGTCA